TCAAAGCATGGAGGAGAAGAAGAAGCACGAGATCGAAGTGGCAGTAGCTAAAGCCCAGCATCTAGAAGAGGAGAGACACGCAGTAGTCACTATGCAGTGGGATATTCTGCCGGAAGAGTTAGAAGTACTAGATCAAAAGCCTTGTGCTGCCGTCCTGAAGGAGTATCGCGAGCGATTAGAAGTTGCAACTTGTCAGTACTATCAACTTCAGAAGAAGCCATTGCCGATAAAATTCCGACAGTTGCTTCGTTCCATCTACAAGATGAAACACCCAAAGATGAAAGTAGATGGCGTGTGCGAGCTTCTGCATCCGAAAGAAGGAAACTGGTTCGACCTAGCAAAAACTGAAGTGAATGAGCACATTGATCCAGTCGTCAAACCGGGAACAAGCATCAAGAAGACCAAGTCTACGAAGCCGAAAACGCTAGGGTGGAGCAAGCCTTCAAAGCCGACTTTCTTGACGAATTTACTTTGCCGATTCAGTAAACAGTGGCAGCCGAAGGAGAAGAAGGCCGCTGGTGGTATGCCTCAATCCATCAGGCGTGGCACTTCTAAAACCACTACAACTGCAGCCGCTACAACTAGCACTTCCACGACTCCCAGTGGTTCTGGTTTTTTGACTGCAGACGAAGCAAAGCAGCATGCTGCTGAAGACGAAGAAGAACGACTTGAAGGGTGGGAAGCTCCTAGTGCGACTACGTTGGTGGACGAAGATTCGCACTCATCTCCGTCTTCTGATTCTGAACCCGAGGAAAGTGAAGTTGATGAGCAAGAACGAAAAGCAAGAGCACTAGATCATTTGCATTGGCCTCCAGATGAGCCACCGCCACAGCTGCTTATCGTTTTCTTTCATGACGAAGATCAACCTCGACCAACGTACTTAAACGGGTATCTAGTATCAAAAGTGTTGCTAAAACCGTACATGTGGCTTGGACATCCTATCATCCCGAACTTCTATGGAGGCGATAGCGGCGAAGTAGTGCTGTTTGATTATTATGACAATCCCGACTGCTACTATTTTTCAACCGATGAAGACCGTTGCTTCGAGCGTCCGTTTGAAGTGTGGTCTGGTGAACTTGTCCAGAATCGTGAAGCCATAGGAGGTTCTAGCATTGAACTGGGACAGCAGCTGGTGGTAAAACTAGGAGTCAAACCAGAAAAAACAGCTAGTCCAAAAAAAGTAGCAGTAAAGTCGCCACATCAGAAGAAAGCAAAAGCTAGGATGAAGTCGAAGAGGACGTCGGATGATGGAGCTGCCAGAAACATGCTACCTCAGTTGCTAGATTTTGCTACTACTACTAGCGGCGTCGAGGTTGCTCAGCCAAAAGCCGTTGCTCAGTGGAGTCCACGGAAAACCACAACTGATGCGAATCCTAAGCAGAAAGCGGGAAAAAGCAAAGCAAAATCAAAACCAAAAGCAAAACCAAAAGCGAAGAATAAGGTAGACCGTGCCTCCTGTTCATTCCCAGAAGATCAAGAGTGTCTGTCTATCGAGATTGCTGCATCTTCAGTTGATGAACGGAATGCAGGCGCGCGCGTTGCTCCTCCTTCGCCTGTGTGTCATGTGTTAGATGATAAAAAGACAATGCCAGCCCCAGCTCCAGTCGTCGGGGCATCGTGTGTGCTTGTACCTGTAGCATCACGCGTCGGCGGTTTTGAAGAGCATGGTCAGCAGCTAGAACTTCTTCAGGAGAATAGTCTTCGAGATGCCGTTTTTGTTGATCATAGTTCGCCTGCTTCTTCTGTTGCTGTTCCTGCAGCGTCTAGTCCCGTTGTTCCACCTGCGTTAGAGAAGCCTTTTTCGCCGGTCGTAGAAGTGGATGCTGAACGCGAGAAGCAAGATGTCTTATTCTTAGAAGATGTGGAGATGAACGAAAAAACGGATGCAATACTTGACGATCGTGACGACGCTGTTCTAGACGAGTTCTTTGGATACCCGACGACGAATGATGACCGTGCTCTAGCATTCGGCACGCCTGACGCAGCTGTGTATACCAGTACGACAGACGACGCGACGAAGGCGCAAGTGGTTGCGCCTAATAGTGTTCCAGTAGCAACAGCAAGTGCGCCTGCGGTTGGGCTTTCCATACCTACGGGAGCATCGTCGTCCGGTACTCGATCTGGTATTTTTTTGATTTGATTTTGTATTTTCATGCCTTTAAGATGAAAATGAGTTTCAAGATTGCAATTGTGAATATTGAAATTGGAGCTATCTTAATTTCTTATATCTTTTGAATCGAAGGTCCTCCGGCACCTCCGCTATCTGCACCTGCGTCCGATGCTAAGGATGTCCCTGCTGTTGTAGATAGAGCTATGAACAAACCAGAGGTAGCCGCGGCAAGTGGTACAACTGGGAATGAAGAAGTAGAGCGGGAGCGACGGCGCCGGCAGGGAGGGTTTCGGAGAAAGGCGGACTTTGAAGCGGCTGTCGCTAAATTGCACAAGAGTCTTTTTGGGAAAGATGACATGATGGACGTTACAGGTGTTAGCGCCAAGGTTACTGCGACACCGAAGAAAGCAGCTGGTAAGCCGAAAAAAGCAAACCCAAGTAATCTGCCTACCACAGTCAAGTCCACTACTGTGCTTTGTAGCGCGGAGCCATTGAAGAGCATAGGCGTCCCAGAATCACTCAACAAGCCGCTAGTAGCTACGGAAGCCAAGCGAGTAGATACCCAGCGAAACAAGTGC